TTTTTCTTTTTCTTTTTCTTTTTCTTTTTCTTTTTCTTTTTCTTTTTCTTTTCCTTTTCCTTTTCCTTTTTCCTTTTTCCTTTTTCCTTTTCTTTTTCTCTGGTCAAGACGGTTTCTTCCTCCCTGTTTAGACTTGCTCAAGCAAACCCATCCAGACTGTGTCTACCTGGAGGGATTGTTAGAATGTCCCCTTACTGGTACATCAGAGAGAGCTGTCCTCATGGTTGCCACCCTTCTGCCACACTGTTTTGCTGTCACTGTCCATATGTGTGTAGGCAGAGCAAGTTGTTGAGTTTGGGATTCTGAACACTGAAGATCTTGTCTGTAGAATTGAATCTGAGAATTCAAGGGTGGAAATATTTTAAGCAATTCTTTTGGTAGCTTGGAAGAAAAGGGGATCTTTTGTTGTTCATTTTTGCACTGCCCAGCGGGCCGTGGGGACGAGAAGAGAGAATCTCTCTTCTTTAGAACTCTGACATGCTTTTACTGCTGTGAATGTGTCTCGATTGCACATCAGGATGTCGTGCACATTCATGAGTCATGCACAGAAGGACTTCAGGCAGGGTCTTTGGAAAAAGGCCTTTGAGGGAAGACGCCATAACACAAGCCTTCCTGGGAGCTGAGAGAGGTGTGGGTCATCCAGTCAAAACATTCATAGATTGCTTATTGCAACATTATTTTGGGAGAAATAATAGATGTTCTGAGTTTAGATCTGCTCTCTAAGAAACAGGCACTAGAACGAAGCTGTCAGCAGGGACACACTGCCAGCCTACTTCAGTGTATTTTAAGCCTTCTACTGGAGTGCTTACTACCTGTTACTCTTGCAGTCAAAGTTCTGGGTTACACAGGTCTGATCAACTGATGATTTATGTTTTGGCTGGAGATAGGGATCTTAACATTTGGGTCTGTGTGCTCAGCTTCCAGCACCAGGCTTCTGTAGCCTCCTAAGTTTTCCATTGTCAATTCATTCTATTATCTAAGCCTTGCTAGCAATGTAGCTATAGTTAGAGAGGAAGGATATTATAATCTTGTGAAAGATTAAAACATTTTTACTGTAATCCAGCTGGAAGGGCAGCACTTTTCTCAGGATAGGAGGCAGCCAAGGCTTTTCCCATTCTGTCCAGCCCTTGTATAGAGGAAGGAAGTGCTGGCAAGGGCCTCCCCAGCTTCCTGTCGACTTCGGAGCACATTTCCAGACACAACCTTCTCCGCCATCCATCACCCAGCCCAGGCAAACAATCACAGCAGTGCAGGGTGAAAAACACACATCTCACATAAACACTTTGGAGGCAACCTGAGTGCAAACCGCTGGAATTTGTGCGCAGCCGTGTTTGATCTGTAGAGCTTTGTCTGACAGCAGGCTGCTGAGGAGCTTCCCTTCCTTTCCTAGTGAAGTATCACAATAATCAACATTCTTCTTTAGAATAAGATTAACAAAGGGAAAAAAAATTAAAAAAAAAACGGCTGATGTTTGATAAAGAAGCTGCTGGGCTGGCAGACTGTGGAGCCTTAAGCCAAGGAGGTGAGCAGGGATGCTCTGTTCCACAACAGCCCTGGGTGATGTGTCTGGCTGCAGGGGAAGGAAGTGAGCATTGTCTGCATTATGGAGGCAGAGATTTCTGTCAGGTCTGCAGGGTAGGGCAGTGATGAGGCAAAGTTAGTCTGTGATGCTTTGCAGGAGGAAATAAATAAGGCGGAAGCCTCACCTTTAAATGAATCACCTCTGCTGAATACAGTTCCTTGCCTCTCTCCAGAAAAGGGCTCTGAACTGAATCTTGGCCTTTTTCTCATATTACTGGCTTTGTTTAAAAGCTGCATTACAATATTTAAGTATTATTTTTAGACCTGTCTGTCCTGTGACCTTTTTTAACCATTCCCTAAGCCAACTGTTTGGTTTTCTTTCTTCAGTGTGGGTTCAGAATTCTTACCAAGTTTGAGCTGGGAATTTCATTTCGTTTCTGATAGCGGCAGCCACACCTGCAAAGATCAGCTGTTAGGAGGTGATGCACTCACTGGAACATCTCTCAAGGCAGCTGTATAATCCTGCAGAATGACTGGATGTCACAGAGTACTTGATTGGGAAGCAAAGTTCCAATGTTTGAGGTTCAGTTTTCCCTGTACATCTAGTCTGAACGATGTATGTGTAAGGCTGAGCACCTAGGTTAGTCTTCTGAAGGTGGGCAGGCACATGGTCAGAGCTCTGGCTGTGTTACCATGTACCCTGCATCGTCCTGTAGATGTTGTTGAAGCCATCGATTGCTCTTTGATGTAAAGTGCTCCAAAATTCCCTCCCACAGCTGGTATCCAACAGCAAGGGAACTGGTTTGAGCTTGAGATTGAAGGAAAGGAAGGCTATCAGCCATCAAAGCAAGCGTGTCTGCCCTCCTTGCTCCACATGGACGCTGCCTGTTGGATTGCACTCCATGCCTGAGCCCACCGCTCTGCGTCAGCGAAGCACAGCAGCTGGGGCATGATGGTGTGTTAGTACACCTCCAATTTTCCCTGTCTGTGTCCCCGTGTCATTGGAGAGCTGAGGTAACATTCATCTCAAGAGTCCGGCTTAATGGTAAATCTGCAACTCACCTTGAGATTTTCTCTCTGTACTGACTTACGTGATAGCTGTGTGGCAACACCTTTCAGTGCAGTTGGTTCTGTTATGTAAAAAGCTGTGGGTAATTCTTAACAGCTTTATGAGTCTGAAACCAGCCCAGCTCCATGCTGGCTACCTGCAGGAGCACCGTGCTGTGCAGCCAGATGTGTTTGCTGGGGCTGTGCCGTTCTCTTTCTTCTGACTCTTCCTTTTGTTGTCCTTCGTCTGGGCTTGTAGAAGGTGGGTGGGGAGTAAGCTCTCACATGCCTTCAGATGCTCTGTGGGATGGGAATTATTTCTTGTGTAAGGTCTTTGGAGACCGCAGCACTCTGCAGTCCTTGTTTGAAATCTGAAGGCATCTCTGAAAAGCTAACATTTATTTTTAAGTCTACTAAAAATGGGCATGGATAACACCAAATGAAAAGGGAGGTAAAATGGGCTGAGCAGAGGGAGGTGGTAAGGATCAGTAATAGCTGTGTGTTTGTAAAAACAATAGCAGAAGTAAGCAAATAAAACCCTTCCCCATCAGGGCAAAGGGCTGGAACTAAGAAAAGTCTGATTTCTCCCCAGTGAAGGCTGAGAGAAGGTGCTGTCAGTTTGAAGCTGTACCATCATTTAAAGGCAAAATAGCAAAACCGGGCACCCAAAGTTGAAGCTGTACCATCATTTAAAGGCAAAATAGCAAAACCGGGCACCCAAAGCTTCAAGATCCTGTCTTAGACGTGAAGTCCCCAGGTAGAGAAACGAGGCTGTCAAATCCACACACTGTTTAATAAAAGTGTTATTCCTCCCCTTTAGGAAGCTGTTTGACTAGACTTGGGAAAGAGTTCACACTGACAGCATGCAACATTTCCTAGCATCCTTGTAGCAGGCAATTTGTTGTGAGCCCACCTCTGCTGTCCGCTCCCGAGGAAGAACCCTCCAGCAGCAGCAGGTGCAGCGCTGCTCAGTTCCTACACTCACCAGTCTCTTACCTTTCTCATCTAGCCGTGTCCTGTAACAGCAATGGGTTAAAAGAAAATGAGACGGGGCTGACAGCGTCCCTCTTAAGTACAGGAGGGCCAACTTGAAATCAATCCACCGCATGCTAACTCAGCAATGCAAGGAACGCGGGGCAGCAGTAACACGATCAGATCTGCTCAAACCACCGAGCCAAAGTGGTGCTGTGCTCAGAGGGGCTGTGAGGGATGGGGTGCTTGTTTCCAGAGATCGTGGCCGTGGAGGGTGGAGGAGAGCAGGGAGAGGGTTGTCAGCCCATTGGGTGCTGGTGGCCAGCATGGCTCAAGGGAAGTAAACCCTCGCTGCAGAATGCCTCTGAGAAGTCAAAGAAAGAGGCAAATTGCCCAGAGGTACCATTGTGACTGAGAGAATTATGTTGAGATTGACATGGAGTCGTGGGGCATAAAGTGTTTGGTATCAAAGGTTTCCCTGGGTTGTCTGCTGGTGTCTGCGTTCCCCTTTGCGGGAAGGGGTGAAGTATGAGAGCTGCATCTTCCCACTCTGCCCCTTTCAGATATA